TATATTTGAGTTTAGCAAAAATTCGAGCAAAAATGTGCTTCATTCAAATGTGCTACGAAAAAATATTAGTAAAAATAAGTTTTTAAAAATATTAAAGCGTAAACTTAAAACATATACATATTATATATTTATATGAATTAATATATATGATATAGTGAAAAAGAAAAAAATGAAAAACATGAATAAATGTCTGTCAGTTGGGACTTTATGGTTGTCTATGTAGGTCTAAGGGATGGGGTCTTGCCTGGATAGCAGCTACAGGCAGGGTAAATTTATGACATTTTAATGAAATTTCGTGTAAATGTTGTATATGTTTTAATTTAAAAAACAAAAAAAAATGTTCATTTAGAAACAATATACTATATGAAAAAATATTTGTGCAAAAGGTGTAAAATTGAATAATTTTGTTTATTTTTTTCTGTATTTTCATTTCAATAAATAATTTCATTTTGTTTCAAATCATATGATTGAGTTCATTTTACATCAACTTGCAAATGAACTCTACATAAATTTCTATTTATTACATGTGTAAATTAATTAATATGCAAAATAATTTCATTATTGAAAAAATCACATCAACATTTTAAATAAAATTAAATTCAACATTGTTAAAATTCACAAAAATATATGTGTGAAAAACTATCTGTATCTATAATTTAAGCATCAAAACATAATATTCAATATTTATCTGAGAAACTGTAAAATATTCCAATTTAATTGTATCTTTTTTAAATTGAATTTAAATTTAAAGGATGTGAAAAAGATTCCATCTTTTAAATAAAGTATCTATTGTAGAAGAAGAACACAGAGTTTCTTGTCAACACAGTCACCGATTGGTTAGAGAATGCATGGAGAATATTCTTCACAGTTTGATTTGATATATGTAATGTGTATAGTATTAAAGCTTATTAAAAAAGCTTATAACAGTTTTTAATATAAGTCTTTCTGATAGTTAGTAATCAGCGAACTTAAGCGCTATCTGTGCTGCTTGAAATACACTTGTAAACTTCAGAATTTCATAATATACCTTAAGTGTGTTAAGGTCCATTTAAGTAAGATCCAAACAGGTTGGGTGAGTTCGGAACTCTATATAATACCATATGATATGATATAAAGCTCATTTTTGAGTAACGCTCAAAGGATTTGTTTAGTTTGAAATTATGTATGGCATCTAAAGTTTGTGCATTTCTTAGTAAATTTCAATCCGATTCTGTAAGGTACCCAATTTGGTCTGTGTAAATGTATTTTTAACCGTTAAGGTCATCAGAGATATTTTAGCATTTTTCTCGTTTCGATACTTAGAATCTTAATAAATCATATATTCGACTTTAAATACTATAACAGTCGACTTTGAAATTTCTTAAGAATGTTAAATTCAAGAGTTAATAATTGAAATGGGGGTTGACGGATTATTAAGTCACATAGATAAAATCTTTAAAATTACTGTGTATTATTATTGCATATAAAAAATAAACCATGTATTAAGAAATTGAATTTATGATAAAATTTGAATGTAGTGAATGTATTATGTAGGAGAAATACTGAAAGGTTCATAATGGTGGGTGATTAGTATTAAGTCAGTAGTAATTATATTTCGTAAAATTAATAATTATAAAAAAAAAATGAAAAGTTATGTAGTTAATATCATATGTCTTAAAATAAATTAATCGTAAAGAAAGAGCAACTAAGAAATTAGGTAGTTAATGTCATATGTATAAAGAATATAAAAGTATTAAATACAATAGTCAAAATTATGTAAAATTGGTGCTGCAAAAAATGTGTATAAATTAATATTATATCATAATAATAATTTTATATTTTCGGTGCTATACAAATTACCACAAAAATATTTATGTAATATATATATATATATTTTTTTTTTATATATTTATACGTATTTATAAGTATTTATATTAAATCAAGTGCATTTCAAAAATAGTTTCCAATTAAGGAGAGTATGCGATATTTCAGTGTTTCACAAAAAATATATTAAAATAGACATTTTATATCTAATTTTAAGTAAATATTCATAAGAGCCAAAAATTGTATTAAAGTTATATTTTGCGCCAAAAAATATGCAATATGCCAATTTACGTAAAAAAGTCCATAAATAATATTTGAAATTTTATTGCTAAAATAAAAACTTTATACATTTCAATATTTTTATATAAAATAAAAAAACACTATTTAATATACAGAGAAAATTCCACTGTACGTTAAGTTTTGCTTTGGATTGCGAAAACTTTAGTGCAGGGCTGCGATATTTTTAAGCAAATAAAAAAAGTTGGTTAAAAAAATTAATTAAAAATTTTTCTTTTAATTTAAAAATTAAATTTAAAAAGGCAAAAACAAACAAAAGTGCAAGTAAATATTAAAATTTTTAAATAAATAAATATGTGCTTTTTTGTGCCAACAAAATTGTTTCTTATTTTGTTTAAATTTAAATGATTAAATTATTTTAATAAGAAATTATGTTTAAGTTCAACATATAAACAAAAAAAAAAAATTTAAATTAAACAAAAATGTGTGATTAAAACAGAATACACAAATTTAAGAAATTTTATAAATCAACTTACAAAAATTTATTATTAAATGAATATATATAAAAACTTGTTTAAACGGAAATTGTCAACCAGATAATATACTATATACTAGTACGTGTTCCGGAGAGTCAAAGAAGCGAATATATCTAATGATATTAAAAAATATTGAAAGAAAGGAAATACTTTCATTTGAAAAGTGTTTCGATATTACAAAAAATGTGTTTAAAAAAATCCAATACTATTAAGGGAATGGTACCTTAAAGGAATGAAAGTATTATGTGAAACCAAACAAAATGATCTGAGAACATCAAAATGTTATAGAGTGATGAGTGATAATGTAAAATTAACAATGGTAAATATTGTATATAGGAATTGGTCATATCATTTACTATAGTAATTATATCAATTAATAAGAATATCTTCATAACCCAACGATTGGAATAATTTTATACCTATGAGTTACTTTATAAAATTTCAGTTAATAACGGAGTAAACCGCTTCATTTCTTCCATGCATGCAATCAGTGAAAGTTGAAGAAGAAGAGACAAAGGAGAAGACAAGAACTCGGTCTGAACATTTGAAAGATTGTAGTGTTGAAAAGAAAAAGAACAAGAAAGCTGTAGAACTTTATAACCAATATTGAGCAATATGATAATCGCAATAGTTTTTAGTTATTTAGCATGAAAAAAGAAGAAAGATTAATGTATCTTGGGAATTCATGGATATTATATTAAGAAAGTTTATTAGTAGATACTCTTTAATGAGAGAACGGAGTTTACATAAAAGGGATTAGAAGAAAATATTTATCTCATTTAAATGAGGTAGCTTTAAGTTACGATGAATTTTATGTTTGTGATTAAGTGGTATTTAAACCTTTATATTCCACGCTTCTAGAATAGAAAACTGAAGTTCCATAGGTATATATGCTCTTTTACTGACAGTGTTTTAGAATGCATTATCAGTTAGAAATGCTAAAGGCTGTTTCACAGAAAATACTTTCGTAAAAAATTTTAGCATATTTATTATAAACAGAAACTGCTCAGTTCTACTACATCTGAAATTTGATTTACTTAAAGGTATATTGATTATAGGAAATTTAAATGCATGCTCTGTAATTAAATAACATTTGTTCTGTTTTATCTCATAAAGACTGTTAGGATGCTTTGAAAAAGGTAGAAAAAGAAGAAGCAAGTATACGAAAAAGACACTTATCACTGAATTAAACACTTAAGTGTCTATTTCTCAAAGGTTTACGAAATCATTATGCTAAAAACAAAATATCCTCATTTTTATATTCATGGCTGCTCAAGTTTGTCAAGGACTATTCTCACATAGGTCTTCTTCTCGTAGGAAAATACTACTTTCGGCACAATTTGAGGAGAGCCATCACCCTTATATATCCACTCCTCCTTTTTTAGCTACGCACATGAAGGTAGAAGTCTTTAAAAAAAAGAATCGATTGCCTTAATACAAATGAAATGTATAAATAATTGCAATGAATCTAGTGAAATAAATAACGTGAAGGGACTTGCTGATTTCTATGTGAAGGCATATTAAAATGATTATAAGGATTTTGAAATGTTAACAATATCTAGGCTCAGTTGGGAGTTTTTTGACTCTATGTCTTGTTGAATGCGCGATAGGGAAGTTACTGGCAAACTTTAGAATGAAAAAATATAAAAAAAAATTATAAACTTTCTTTTATATTTAAAGAAAACTAAATATATATAAATAAAAAAGAATAACGTTGAGTGTGTAAAAAGTATATATATTGTGTGAGAAAACATATGTAGCAATAGAAAAATTCAAAAATAAAAGAATTTAAGTAATGATTTAAAAATTTTTAAATACATTGTTTAAATAATATAAAATCACAACTTTTATTTATGCAATTTTATAATAAAAACTTTGACGTTGACTTCAAAAATTTGTTGTCAGCGTATCCAAAATCGCAGCAAATTCCTAAAATAATACTTAAGTATATATTATGTTTCTGTTTGAAGCTAGAAAAAATAAATATTCGTTTTCATATGAGACAAATCCAAAAATTAGCCGCTTTGAAAACGGAGCAAAATTCAAAATTTTTGATTAGTCAGCTTTGTTGTTTAATACAAAATAAGAACAGAAATTATTAATATTATATTGAATAAAAATATTTAAAATAAAATTAGTTTCTACTACACACAAACAAAAAAAAAAACAATAATAAATAAACATTTTAAAGTTAATTATTTTTAATCATATGATCATGATAAATAATTAATTTAATATTAATGAATTAGTTACAATATGAAAACAGAATCAAATAAATATTATAATTAAATTATTAACCATAATTATGATTAAAATTAAAATTAAAAGTAAAATTATACGTATTTTTATAAAAAAATAAAAATTTACGTCTTGTTGAAAATACTTGGTATAATTCTTAACCATTTATAAACAATTTATACATACCGTCTTCATGCGTACGCACAATAATTGGATGTGATCTTGGCCCATCACCCACTGAGGTACCCGCCAATGTCCATATCTTATATTCAGTCCAACGTTTCAATTCATCCAAAATGATATTTGTTACATTCAGAGTTGTTATAGTTGCCTCCTCATCGGAACGTCCGACTTCCACAAAGAACACTTTATAGTAGATGATGCGTCCGTTGGAACGTTCAATGGGCGGTGGTAGCCAAGATACAGCGATTGTTGTTGGACTTGTGGCAACAGCGGTGATATTACGTGGCGGTGCACCTGGTACTAATTAAATTGGAACGGAACGGAACGTATGTACATGTTTTGCATGACATTTTGTTGTTCATATAAAATTTTTTTTGTGTTTGTTTTTATTTTGGTTTTTGCATATAGTGAAGCAATTTTATTATTAATATTAATAGTTAAATCATTTTTTTTGTTGTAGTTTATTTTGGTGGCATCCAAAAGTGTTTTTAATAAAAGATTTTTTTGTTCAAAATTAATTTATGTAAGATATGTGTTAATATTATTTTAGCAGGATACAGCAAAATGATAACGTAGCATTAATGATATGAAATAAAATAGAAAAATAAATTAAGACAAATATTAAAATAATTGTTTAAAAAAATTGTTACAACAAAAAGTTTTAAAACAATGATCACAACAAAAATATATTAATCAAATATTTTATTTATAAAAACTTACAAATAAATGACAATAAATTATTTTTAAAAACTTATAATTTTAATAATTTTTTAATAATTGTTACAAAACGTTTCCAATGGTTTATGCAAGTACTTCATTTTTTCGTATACCCTACAACCAATTTTAGAATTTGTTTCTATTAATAACTAATAATAATCTTAAATAATACTTTTCAGATATTGTTAGATCAAAAGAAAAACGTTGGCAATAGATTAGAAGTGAAGTTGTTGAACATATGTAATAATATTGGATGTTAGATATAACTGTGTGTTCACACTGGGCAGAGTTGGGCAAGCTTTTATGTACGAATGCAAATACACATTACTTCTTAATTTTTTTTTTTGAAAAAAAATTTGTTTGTGTTAGTTAAGAAATGAGAATGTAGTTTGTCACTAGACTTATTATAGTCTAGCCAACATCATATTGTTGTGAATTACTAGAGTAGAGATGTCAAAGTCAATACAATTAAAATCATGGTACTTAAATTGTATATGAATTCTATAAGAACTTAAGTACTTAAGAATTTGTAGATTTATCCATAAATTTAATTTTTAATATGAGTAAAAAATTGTACTAAAAAAGTTTTAGCATGAAAATTTAAGAAAGATTGTACTACAGATAGATAAAGAAGAAATGGTGCTTAATCAAGTTAAAAGAAACACTTGGAGGTGTTGGAGGTAATTAACAATTACTTCTTACTTTCTTTCTTTCGGATCTGTTGCATATAATAGATTATATTGTTTATAATAAAACAGCTAATAGGTGTATAATAAAAACAACGTATAGTCCGGTTCGTCTACTCTTGCAACTTTGAGGTTATTGTAATGAATCATATACGTCTCCGAGTGTTGATATGTGTTGATTTTTGTATTATTTTGGCTTCACTCAGCCTAACCTAACTATCTTATAGTGTTTATTGTGTATATAAAGATAAAGGACTATTCAATAATGTTCAAAATGAAACTGACTAACTTCAATATAAGAACTAGCCATTAAATGTATAATAACCTACTAAATGTTTCAAAAAATAAAAACAGTCTTTATCGAGTTTTATAGCTTTTGTGCATTAGATGTAGGGTATACATAAATTATTATTAAAAATTTTCATTTGTTGTTTTTTTGAATTTTAATATTTTTTGCGCATATTTTTTGGTTATTGTGCAAATTATTTTTTTTTTAAATATATAATAAAATCACATTCAGTACTGTTTACAGTTTTAGGGGTATTTTTTTTTTGTTTTTGGTAACTAACATTTATATAGGTCTAACCTATAATTTTATGCTGCTAACATCTTGAGACACATTTACGTTCTGAGGAAAATATATAGAACATGCAATTTTATTATAAAAAAATTATTAAAAGAAAAAAAACTTGCTTTTTCTTTGGTGCACATAACAAAAGTATTTTTAAATCAAATTTAACATTAAAAATTAATAAAAAAAATTCTTATAAAAACATTTTCATTAATTCAAAATTTAAACAGTATTCAAACAAAAAGAGGTGACATTTAACATTATTATTTACTTCATATAAATTACACATAGGCATTTCTTTTGCATAAACCATTTTTAAAGGGAAAATTTTTTAAACTTTGAGAAAAATAATTTCTGCTTAAGTGAAAAAAAATTGTTTAAAATTTTTGATATAATATACTATAAATTAATTACTTATAAATAAAATTAATTTTAAATAAAATGTAAATACTATTACTGAATGGAAACTAAATTTTCAATAATTAAGGGTTAGTAAGAATTAAGGATGTAATTATAAAATTTAGAAATAACCAAAAGATATTTTGAACTTTAAACTGGATCCAAATTATTCTAAATAAGTACGCAATTGAATAGTTATGCTTTAAATTCAATATTCTAAAATTTCGTAAATATATGTTAAAACAAAAAACATTATTTATATAAAAGAAATGCTAGAATAATGTAGAAAATTATTTCCACTAAAAATTACATGCAACTCGCAACTCGTAGAAAATAAAAATAGGCATGCAAAAAATTAAAAAAAAATTTTAATAAAATTGACAAAGTTTAAATTTATTCCTTTATTTTAAAATTATTGATTTATTAACATAATTTAAAGCATTAAAAATAAGCTCTTTTAGTTTAAAATAGAAAATTCATGGCAAGGTTTTTTGTAATATTTTTTTCAAAGTTTAGTTTGGTTAAGATATTCTAACATTTTATGTCTCAAAATTTTGATTTTATAACAAATTGGATTAACTTTTGTGGATAATAACAAAAAAACATTTCCTTTTATAAATAACTTAATTAATATTCATTAGAATCGTTTTAACAAATTCCAAATTGAATAATTTTATAATGGATTTCTATTCATTTGAAATGATAAGTTTATAAGCTATAATACTCTCTAATTTCTGAAGTACCATTAATATGGTAAGTAAACACTATTTTTACTAGGAAACTCTAAAGCTACTGATATAGATTTTGCTACAGATCTTAGCTATTATTTAATTCTGAATGACGTATTATACAACTTTTAGCCAAATCTTTAAAAACATTTAAAAATATCCCATAAATAAATAGATAATATATATAATAAATAAATATGTTATAATATATATTATTATATCTAATGAATTATTTCAAAACTTTATGGAATATTTCAAAAAATATTTAAAAACTGTAACCGAACTCTATAAGAACTACTTAGTAATTTTTCAAGAACTTATAATACATAACTCGCAAAATGAACACTTTAAAAATACTTTAAGAATTCATTTAGAATTCTTGACGTAAGTTCTAAAAACATTTAAGAAAATATTCAGAAACGCTTTAATAACTCTTCAAAAATACTGCAGTACTTCTCTTAGAAAATTTTTTAAAAGCTCTATTTTTAAGCGCATTATTGAAAAGGTGAGGTATTTTAAAAATTTTTAAGAATTTATTAAGAACTTTTTAAAAATGTTGAGGAAGTCTTGCTAAGTGTTCTAAGATTTGTTAAAGAATTCTTTAGAAATGTTTTAATAACTGTTTAATAGGTATTTAATAATTTTTTAATAGCTTTTCAATATTCTATACAAACTCTATTTAACTTTTTTAAAGAAATTTTTCAAGACCCTTTTTGTTAGCTTAATAAAAACTTATGATGTCGCTTGAATTAAGCGTTAAAAAACTAAATAAGGCATCAAAAAATTCCTTGCAACTTCTTCAGTAACTTCTAATGAAGACTCTAAGAACTGTTAAACACTTTAAAGACTATGGTATTTAAGAACTCATCAAAATTTATTTTAGGGATTTCCTCGAGAACATTCTTTAAGGAAACGTTTGATAAGATTTCAAGATGTTGTGAAACTCTCTTAAATGACTTGGTCAAAATTTCTTTGAGTGCTTCTTAATAACTCTTAGATAATAGCACTTACCTAAAAGAAAAGTTTTTTATTTTATTTATTTTATTTACTACTTAATATTTCATTTATTTATTACTATTATTTATTAATATTTTTTGAGTGAACTATTTGTTTAACAGATAATAATAGTTGATAAAAATTCTTTAAGAATTGCTCACGAAATTTTTAAAACAATCTTTAATATTTTTAGGAATTGTGTGGTATAGAAGCTAGCTTAAGGCTAACTTTTAATTATTTGTTTAAAAATTAATTAATATTTTTTAGTAAATCCTTTAGAATTTTTTTAAAATCTAAACCTGTATATCAATAGAAACTTTTTAAATTTTATAAACTTCTTTGAATTTTAAAAACTTTTAACAAACTATATATAAACTGTCTAATAGTTCTAAATAAACTCTTACTGAACTCTAAAAGTTATACCTTGATAATCACAATATCTTTATATCTTCATTTATATCTTCATTTTAATGGCTTACATATAATTAAATGCTACAATTTCGAATAGACTAAACTAGAGATAAGTTGGAACTGCCAAATTAAAGTATTTGGTGAGGTAATGCTATTAGTTTACTATTGTTAAAGTATTTTATTACTTAATTTGAATAGCTTGTCAATTTTTTTTTAATTTTATATGGAAAAAATATTTTCTTTTAATTTTAAATGAACAACATGCAATTTATTAATTATTTAATTAAAATCAGAAACTTATGTCACTTGCAAAAAGTTATTATGGAAGAGAAAAAAAACCAGAAATGTGTGCAAAATATATTTTAAACTGTGCTTAATATTACTGCAAATTAAATTTTAATGCAGAAGAAAATTCCAATGAACAAGTAAAATTTAAATGATAATTGAAAAATATGAAAATAGTTTCATGACGCTATTATCCTTTAGGACGGAAAAAATATACACAAAATGAAAAGTGCAACACTCAATAAAGTGCAGAAATAATTGCTAAAATTAATAATTACAATTAAGCTGCTGTGAAATATGAAAAGTGGTAAGATTCAATTAAAAAAATATATACAAAAAGTTATATAAAAATTAATAATAATAAACAATGCATTACATTATTATATTTTTTTATATATAAATACAAGATTCAATTCAGTATTCATTCACAATATTAATAAAGTGTTAAAAAAATTCAACATGGAATTACAAACATTAGTATTAATTAATTAGGCTATTAATTTGATG